CATGTGGCTCAAAAGCCTTTGGAGCTGGCTTGTGAGAGGGGGAAGAGTTAGGAAAGATCTGGGGACTTTGGCCAAGGAAGCAGCTCCGAACTGCCTTAGACTGTTTGTTATGGGAGATTTTGGTCAGAGCTCAGGAGGCCAGAAAGCCAGCAAAGATCAGGCTCGGGAAGTTTCTGCTGGGAAGGACTGCATTGGCTGTGGGACTCCAAAAGATATTATGGCCTAGCAGAAAGTTTGTCTGCATTTTGTTCATGTGGAGAGACTTTGCCTGAGACTGAGATTAGGGGCAGTAGGTGAATTAATATTACAGAAGAAATTTCAAGACAGTTGAATATTGAGGCAGTGGCATGGATACTGTGGAGGGATTTGAGAATCAAGAGCGAAAAGCCCAGCAGGATGATTTAAAACATTTTCAGTTTGGCCAGAAAGGAAGTTCCGGTAAAGCTGTAGACTGCAAAGACAGAGCAGAGGAGATCTTAATTGCTGAGAAGGAATAGAAAAGAAAAGATGGCCTGAGAGCATCACAGGAAGTAGCAAGTACCCACTCTATGTCTGTGTGGGTTTGTGCCCCTCCCTCAGTTAATGACTTATACTCCTTTGCATTTGACTTTGTGGGTAATTATCATAAAATAATCCTATAAACTATGTGTCCTGTATTTAATGTATTCCCTTGCCAAATCCTGCTGAGTACAACGAAACTACCAGGAGTGGAGTATGAACCCACAAAGACATAGAGTGGACACTTGCTGTGATGTTGCCTGGACATGTTGCTTGAGTTTAAAAGCCTTGGGAATCATTTTGGAAAGGTTTTGAGAGACCTACCAGAGAGGCAGCCTTGGTGTGCTCTAAACTATGTGGCAGACTCTGGTCAGAGCCCAGAAAAATCAGAGTACTTCTGCCAATTGGGATGAGGCTTGGGCATCTCTGCTGGGGACTGCATCGACTGCTGGATCCCAGGCAGCGTACGTTGTGCTTTAGTAAGAAGTAAGTCTGCATTTTGCTTGTGTTTGGAGACAATGCCAGGGTGGCAGAAAAAAATCCAATGCAATATATTGTTGGGACGATAGCATGGAGGGCTTTTGGCTGGATCTGTACTGGAAATTAAGAGCAGAGAACCAGCAGGGTGATTTGAAGCATTTGGCCAGAGGAGGGGCTCCAGGAGAGCCGCAGGTTTCAAGGATGAAATGGAGGAGAATATGGTTGCTAAGAAGAAACAGGACAATGGAAAAGCTCACGAAGACAACCACTGCCACCATGAACTAATCTGGGGCAGGAAAAGTCCTGGGCCCAGGGAGCAAGCAGTATTCTGGTGCCTGTCAAACAACCTGGCCAGACAGCACAGCTCAGACAAGTCATTGGGCCGCAGTGCCTGTTTAGGGACCGTGGATCTGGATGTGCACAATCTGCACTGCCCTGGTTGGGATCTGAGCTGGAAGTCCCACTCCCATCCCAGGTCTAACGGATCATCCCACAGGATTCTAGGAGGCAGCTAAGGACCCATGGCACTGATGAGTCTCACATCTTTGTGGGTGTCCTGCTGGGCTCTGCAGGCTGGACAAGAGCACTGAGCTCAGCTTCAAGAATAGCAAGTGAGTAAGCAGGTGAAGGCAGGGGACTTTAAAGACTTGCCCCAGGGTGGTCATGAGTTATAATCAAGCTACATCAAAAACTTGGGCCGACTTTCCCGGTAGGTTCAGGAGAAGCCATTTAGAACTTTAGATCTAGCAGTGGAATAAACAGTAATGTTCTAGAGATCCTATTTCTCAAGCCAAGCACAGGCTGACAATCAAGAACAGCCAGGGTAAGTCTACACTGGGAGGCCACTCTGAGCGTGGGAGGCCATGAGCTTGGAGGAGCAGCAGCCCCAGTGCAAACCCAGCTCTGATGCCGCTGTCTCTTTACTCTGCTGAGACTCATTTTTGCGGAAAGGAAAATGGAGACACCACACCTCAAGGGCAGGACTCCTCTGAGGACTAATGGGAAGGAGGAAATCAGTAAGGAGAAGGCAATGTCATCATCACTAATGATACCATGAGCTACTGCAACGTCAGGCCTTGCTTGGAGCCAGGAGCTAGAAGACCAAAACACACCCGCAGGCCTCTGCCCTCATGGGAAGAAGATGACATCCTGCAAATGAGAAACTGGTGCCTGGGTCACGGAGCTCAGACGCCACCAACTCCCACGTGCTCAGTGCCCCCCAGCACAGGGTTTATCTTTCCCGAAAACAGCTGTGGCTCACCACTCAGGAAGCCATTCGGTTAATCCTCACCCCTGCTCCCTCCCTGTCACTTGGGTGTGGGGTTTCCCTTTCTGTGGAAATCTGGCTTTACTTCAGATCTCCTTCCTGGCTGGCATCCGACACAGTAGCCACATCATTTCCACTGACTTTCATCAGTGACTAAGGTCACTCAACACTTTACTCCCCTGGGACCCAGTTTTCAAGAAGAGTCAGCCAAAGAAAACTTCACCTTAACATGCAACGTGTTCATTTCCGTACAGCCCCAGGTGAACAAGATGTGCTAAAATCTCCCCTTCATTAACTCCAAGTGACCCCAAAACCTCTGCATCTTCAAGATCAGAAGTTTGTGAGGGACCCATCAGTGTGCCCTCTTGGGCTCCGGTAGCTTTATATACCTGTCAGTAGACCCAACCTCCCAAACTGATTGTTTACACACTTAAGCAAGAAGCCACTTTAGCATGCTGGACCCAAGTTAAAGGGCCACATCCCATGATGCATGAATTTACTCAGTGGGCATTTCTTGAGCACTAACGAGGTGCTAAGGAAGAGGATGTGAAATATCAGTGAATATCTGAGATGATGATTACCAAAAAGCATTAGAAAAAGAAGGAAATCCAAGAAAAACTATACATAGGAGAAAAAAGTGGGGCAATTCCCTGGAAGACTTTTGCCACACTCTTGCAGACCAAATCTCCTAAGACCTGGAAACACTTCGCTTATGTATTCATGTCATATGATAATCAGGAAGCTGGATTTGTTTGCAGACGTAAATGTGAAGGGAAGCTAAGGCCCTAACGCTGGGAGCAAAGGACATGCGCAATCTTCACGATAAAGAGACTTTCGGCCCACATCTCCACTGCCTCAGGAGGGCCCAAGAGGGCCCAGGATCGCTGCCCCGCGGCCTCCTGGAAATGGCTGTGTTGTATCAGAAGCAATTTTTTTTAAAAAACCCTAAACAAACCTCATCCTTATAGCAAAGCTTTGGAAAGAAAGAAAAAAACTGCACCACATATAAGACATTTCTATACTGCTAGCTTCTGCTTATCAGAGGGGTTTGAATTGAAGGTGAGGAAAATGGTCTCATGGAAAACACCGAAAGGTCCTATATTTCTGAATAATTTTAGTGGAAGTACTCCAACATTTCCCCCCTGGAATCAGCTGGTAGGCTGACTTCGTGATAGTTTTTTGTTCCACGTTAAACTCTGGGCAACTCTCAGACGCTGTATCTGCGATCCTGATGATTTGAGCCATGGTGCCCAACGGGCGTATTAGAAGAAATGAACTTTAGGGAGCCTATTTGAAGGTTCAAGGTTTTAAATGCTTGGAGTCTTCCTGGACAACTTAGCCAAACCCTGTCTCAAAAGTTGCTAAGAGGGGAGGAGTGTGGGGACCGCTGGGTTCCTTGTAGGGCGCCCCTGGTCCGGTCGCCAGTGCCTGCACCAAAACAACCCCGACAATGGGTCCTCGCCTGGCGCTGTCCCCGCACGGCCTTCGGGTGTCCCGTCCAGGACCCCAGTCTCCACCGGCAACCGGGGCGGACAGCTCCGCGGACTGCCCGCCACACGGCGTCATTCCCCCTGTGCCAAGCGAAGGGATGCATCGAGGCGCAGCCTCGTGGGGCGGGGGTGGCTCCGGTATGTTCTGTCCAAGCGGGAGACCCCAAGCAGGAGGCCCGGTTGCGGGACACTCGGGCAGACGCTACCGTCGCCTCTGTCACGGAAACGAAAAGGCCCCTCCGAGCGGCCCTGCTCTCCTGCCGGCCACCGGAAGCGTC